TTGAGAACGCTGGCGCGTTTCCTTTGCATTCTGAAAAGTGAGATTCAACTGAGTTTTTACCTATAATCTACACAAGTGTGCTTTAATGAGTCTCGTCAAACAAAAACCTTGAGGTCAGGATATCAATCATAAAACTATCCGTATTGTCGAAGTGGATGTGGTTCATGTCTGTACTACATCCACAGGATAAAAGAATATCGATTATGTATTATTCTATAAGGATAGTGAAATGGATTTACATATAAATGGATAATGAATATGAATCCTGAGTCTATATATGGACTTAAAGAAAGAGAAGGCGAAGATGCTGTAAAAAGTGTAAGCAATGCGCGAACACGTTCCGATTAAATTTTAGCATGCCACACACGATGCTCCGATTTATTTGTGCAAATTATTTACGCAAGAATATCGAATGAATTTTCTTAATATTTGCTCAAGTCGTATGCCCAAGCCAAAATAACTGTACAGTTGTTTTTGTCGCGCGCCTGCCTGGTTGTTTCAAATTTAACACTCACTTTCTTCTCACACTGGCCGGATTCGTTGTTGATTTTACAGCGTGAATCATTACAATCCAGAAGTTATCTACCACACGTGTTCAAGTAAACTTATACAAGTGATTTGCACAGGCATACTTGATAAGTTTATTTGAATGTGTATAGGCGATTTTTACTTTATCACTATATCGTGATCTATTGCTAATGCCAATGTTTCGTGAATCTTGCTATTTATTTTATCAGGGTGAAGAGCATATAGCTGATCCTGTGCTTTTCCTGATAAAGTGAACAAAATTCATGAAACACTTATCAATGGATTACGACATGGCGATAACTTATAGATGACCTCTGGCATCTTTGAAATAATTAACCTTTTAGTTCTGATAAAATGTCTTTTTCTTTCAGATCTTATTACAATAGTGTTTATATCTGAATTTCAATAAGAGTTATTTTGGTAACTCATAGATTTCTATCTTACAATCCTAAGTTTATACTTCAAAAAACCTTGTGTGTGATAAAGTTTAGTAATTTTTTATTTACTTCTTACAAATATCAGATGTATTTCTCGAACCTCAGCCTTGCTAAACAATTCAGTCCATTTGCATATTAGCAATAGACTTCAGTAGATTCTCTTCAAGAAAATGCTTGTAGAGATACTATAGAAAAACCTCTGAGAAAATGTTTTCTGTCAGAAAAACCAAATTTTTATTCGTAAATCCATTTTTCAGATGTATGCGTCCAATCAATCACTTCTTTCTCGCCAAACCAAAGGTCAATCTCCTTTTTGGCAGACTCAACAGAATCAGAGCCATGAATAATATTGCGTCCAACTTGTATGCAAAAATCACCACGAATTGTACCTGGTGCAGAATCCTTAGGATTTGTCTCGCCCAACATTACACGGCCAGTCTTTACAACATTCAAGCCTTCCCAGACCTGAAACAGAAATTTTATAAACATGTATATTAATGTAAACTAAGTTTGTTCAATTGCATATTATTGATATTTCGTTTTGAATTGATATCATTGATATGAATTAAAATTTATTGTTATACAATATCAATATTTATTACTTTATTTATATATATTATTTTATTCTATAAGAAAATCACCATTGGCACAACTGGTCCTGAGCTCATATATTTGACCAAACCTGGGAAGAAGGGTCTTGATGCCAGATCTGCATAATGTTTCTTCAAGAGATCTTCAGAAGGCTGTAACACAAAAATATGAGGTTTGTTGTTTTTTTATTGCTGCACTCTGAACTGATGCAATAAGTTGAAGTGAAACAAATATATATTTGTGTGTACTAGTTCAGAAAGTGCAGTAATAAAAAACAGACCTATGGTGTACAAATTAGAGAAATGTAGATGTCTTTTAATCAAGGATATTAAAGATTTATATATATAATCTACTTTAAAAATAATTAAAAACTATATTTCCTACAAAAAATTCATATTTACATTTTCTCATGTTATTTATTATGCTTATAAGCATATGTACAACAAATTTTTGGCCTTAAAATATTTTTTACACCATATTGCATTCTTTCAATTAGTTGCAGTTTTCCTTCAGTGATGATAGATGTAACTTAAAAAAATTAAAACCATAAAACTTAAAAAATTAAATTAAAAATTAAAGCAGAAAATTAATCTGATTTCAAAATATATAATTGAATGATTTATTTAACTATAACTTCCATTAACATTTATTTTTTTTATATATTATTTTTTATTATATACTTACACACAAAATACATTACATACATTTTTTTGCATCGATTTTTTATCAATATTAACATATTTGAAACCATTCTGCTCTTGACCTTCAAGGTCGCTTGATTAGAATTGTTACATATATCGATATGCTACATTAGTATTAAACATTTTCGTTAAAGGTCACTTTTGCTTGTAATAATTTCATTATATATCCATAAATTTAATATAATATTTGAATACCAATCGCCATTATTCTGATTCTAAAATACTTTGAATAACTGATATACAATAGATTAATAGAAAATCGAAATGAGAAATAAAACTATTTCTAATTTTTATTCTAAATCCAATATAGGTAGCCAATATATGTTTTCAAAAGTTCGATAAATTTATCGAGATGTGCTAAATTGGCACATTCGCGCGAGTTGTAGAAACTGAGTTCTCGAATTGTGTGAAGTTAGAGCACAAGCATAATGAAATTATATACGAAATACCAACACTTACCCATAACATTTTCATAGCCACTAATTTGAAACCCTTCTGCTCAAATCGTTGAATAATCTTGCCGACAAGACCACGCTGCACACCGTCTGGTTTAACCATGATAAAAGTACGCTCCTTGTTTTCCGTCATAATTAATTTAGAGATAAGCAGTAGCAAAATCAAGATAGAACACAAGAACATGCGATACCAACGTGTCGCAAACTGCAAAGGCTGCTTTCCGGGTTCCGGTCAGTGTGTTAAACGAGCCGAGTTTCAGACGCATGCGCATCCAACGTAACTTCAGTAACGTATCGGTCACTAATAAATAGGAGATCATTAGTCCCTTAGAGTTAAAAATGTTGAAAATTTCAATATATTTTACATATTTTACATATATTTAAATATATAATATATTTCTATATATGTATACATATATAAAATATATTAAAATTTTTAATATTTTACAATTTTAACATTTTAACATTTTTTTTAACATTTTTGAAAGAATTTATCATAGGCGACTAATAATCTCCTATTTACGAATAATCGATTACTGAAGCGTTACTGAAGCTGCATTAGATGCGCATGCGTCTGAAATCTGGCCTGTCTAACAATACTGTTTAACAATATTCTGATTCAGAGTTCACGGAACAAGTGATGGCTCTAGCTGGCTACTGCACACTAGATAGACACAGTAGGTTCACTCTACATGTAATCTACACGAATGTATGGACCAAATATCGATCATATATTTATCATCTCCAGCCTTGAAAAGTGAACGATGTACCCTAAAGACTTAAACACAATATATACGGACAATAGGCATAGGCAACAAAGAATAACGAACCGTCCAATCAGAGCTCTGGTGTGTAAGTTCGATATTATATCCCCTGTTGCCTATGCCTATTGTGTTTAAGCTTCAAGACAAATGGACGTTGCTATGTAGTTTACATCCACTTTGTCAGAGGGTAGTAGCACCGACGAGATTCTATTAAAAACCGTCAACCCTAGGCAAATTTTCGGCGGTATATAAAGGAGCTCGGAGGTAATTGAAGAATGCTGACATTATCAACAATTGATATAAATTTGCTATTATTAACATAAATATTTGGCTCATACATTATTAAATTCATGATTTTTTTATTACATAAATGTTCCATAATAAATAAATATGCTATACTTGTAAAGCTATAATATTCTATATATTGCAGAAAAATTACAATTTTTTTTCTGCAGTTATCATCTCTGTTGATAATCAAAATTTGATGATAGCACTGAAATCACAATTTTAAAGAAAAATCGAGTATTATTTAGTTCTAAATGCATGTCCGCTAAACTAATAAATCATAAAATTACTGCGCTATTATCAATTTTCAACTCTTAGGCCAGTATTCAGAGACCGGTATTCGTAGTCGGTTCTTATTTCAAGATCGTCTTAGGCCGATATTCATAGTTGAGTCTTATTTTAAGATCGTCTTAAGTAATGTCTTCAGCAACTAATGCAGCCTTCTGATTGGTTTGTGACTTTTTAAGACCGTTTTTAAGATGGTCTTAAATATAAAATCTGACTATGAATACCGGCCTTAAGTAATGTCTTAAGACGCTAATACGGCCCTCTGATTGGTTCGTAACACCTCAAGACTGGACTTAAGACGATCTTGAATATAAGAACTGACTATGAATACCAGCCATAATCAGATCTTATATTTAAGATCTATTTAAGTTCAGCCTTGAGATATCATGAACCAAGCCTCACTTCAATATTCACATGGAAGCAAACTCCCGTAAGGATGTCGGTCTTTATTATAGTATCTTGTCGGTGATATGGACTATGGCGCGGGGCGTTATATGGTAAGGTTCTGGGTGGGATGGGGAGTGACCGTGAATTTTGGTATTTTTGTCAAATTCTTGGCAAAAAAGTTCATCCTACTTTGGTAGATAGCGCTACAAATAGTGGCTCAGCATTACAAGACGACAATTTGGCTCCTCTGGAAGGTAGAATTTTCTGCCAGGAAAAATTTCTTTTAGTTGCAGTTGGATTCGGTTGTTTCATCTTCATGGAAAAACATGTCGAGTGATAATTTTATCAAAATTAGTAGTGAGAAAACTCAACTGAAGAATTATCCGATTATCCAACAAAAGAGAAGCTAAAGAAAAATACTCCTGGCCCTTGGTGTTTACTGACATTAGAAAGTAATAATAAATTATTGCACAAATTATTCTACACGTGTATTTGCTTATTATATATTCTGCAATTTGTTGCAATTAATTCTAAATTTCAAATATTTCAGCATTCATTGTGATTTTAAACATATTGAAAATATCTGTCTTGTAAATTGCAACAAATATATAACATGATAGAAGATCCTACAAAATGTGAAGATACCGATTTTGGTAATGTGACTCCATTGTGTTCTCAAGTGAATCAAATATATTTGGATACAAAATGTTTAATAGATAGTAAGAATACACAAGTTCGTGTTGTTCGCGGTGCTAAAAAGTTCAAAATTGACAACGATGTTAACAACACTGAGAAAAAAGGTTTGTTTACAGATAATTGTTTAAAATAGCCTTCCCGTGCCCTCCTTCCGTCCTCCTAAAATCTTACGAAAAATGTACTCATTCAATGCGTATTCACTGAAAATGAAAGAATCTAGCAGAAAAATGTGACAGTCAGTCTCATGAATCGAGTTATTAAAGCTTATTCTACAATGTGCTACTTGTTTCCTGTTTCTTGCTTTTCACCTTTTGTTTTTTTCTCCTTTGCAACCGTTTTATCGACAATTGTATTTCTTGCTACATATTTCTTGTTTCTTTCAAAGTTAACCTTTCTATCTCGGGCGACATAAAACAAAAAACCGAATAAGAAGCAAAAAACAAGATGTCAAAAAATAGTAAAAGGCAAGAAACAGGAAACAAAAAGCACATTGTAGAATAGGCTTAAGTGTTAAAGTTCGAGACTTCAAAGATTAAGATAAGCCTTAATTACTATGTGCTTTAATTATACAAAGTACAATAAAAAAATTGCAATCAATTTACAATCAAATGCTAGCATTCTATTGGTTGCACAAATTGACTGCTGCGCGTCTTTGAAATAAAACAAGGAAATTCCTTGGAAATTGAAATCGATAGAAATGGATCCGTGTAGTCATTGATGAATGCAAAATTCTGATTTTTTTGGATACTGGCGAGGCTGACCGACGCGTTTTTTTGCCATTCTTAAAATAATAAAAATCTTAAAATAATAAAATTCTTTAATTTTGAATAAACGCATCGAATGAGTATATTTTTATTAGAATTTCAGGGAAGAAATATATATGTATATATATATAATTATATATATATATATATACTAAATAAATATCACTATTCATATAATTTATATAACAAATATTTTAACTGTTACAATATTAAAATTAAATGATAAATTTTTTTATTTAAACAGATGCAAAAGAGGAAGAGACAGTAGAGATTAAAGTAAAATCTCTCAAACGTTCCTGTGAATTATGGTCTATGGAGGATAAAAATACTTTTTTTAAAGCACTTAATGAATACGGCAAAGATTTCGATGCCTTACAAAGCTATTTTCTAAATCAAGGAAAAAAACGAGGTCTCTCAGACATCATGATAAAAAATAAAGAGCAAATTCGACATTTTTATTACAGAACATGGTTAAAAATATCAAAGCATCTTAAATTCTCAGAAGGTTAATATGTTTATATTAACATAATATGAATATGCATGAATTTTATTAATATATAAATACAATGTGTACAAACATTTAAACCCATTGATGAAAATACATTACAGGTCTGTTCTTTTATTTCTACACTATATTGTATTAGAATTCTCTGTCTTCCTTTTGCCAAATATTAAATGTATATCTATTTCACTTTAAATTTCAAAAGTTCATTATTAGTTCAGCCACAAAAACATCCTATGATTCTGTCAATATGTAATATGTTGTCAAATGTAATATGTTCTTTTATATATAGATGTTAAAAAAACATCTCAGGAATTATATGGACTAATAAATTATGGTGAACTTAGAAGAAAATTACCTCGTATTCATGAGAAAGTTCACTTAAGATTAAATGAATTGGTATATTGGGGATCTACACAAGTCAGACTTAGAGGAAAAACAATGAGAGTTAAAACACCGATATGTAGAGCACTTAGAAAGTTAAACCAGTTAGAAGGTATCTGAAATTTTTAATATATGGGTTGTTCCTCTTTTAAGTTTAAAAATAATAAAGGTAAAATAAATGTGAAATGTACATGTAATTTTCAACTAATGTGTGAAGAATTTTATGATTTTTTTTATTTAAAAATCTAGATATTCATAAAACACATTTAGTAGAAAAATACAATTTTAAAAATTAAAATATGTTCTCATAACTTATGTAATTTTTGTTATGATTTCGTGTGATGTTATACATTAAGTGGTATTAGTTATTTACAAATACAATAATATAATATATTGTTTATGTTTCGTTAGCAATTATTTAAAAAATGAATTTATTAAAATTTAATTACAATTAATATTAAATTTGTTTTAATGTTCCTTTTTGCCTTAAAAGAAGTTGATCACCTACTTTACATGACTTCTAAACTTGACTTACAATTAATAACTCTGATATTACAACTTCTACTTAAATGAGTCATATTTATAGGTTCAGGTTTATAAATTCTTGTTTCCATCAAGCTGAAAGAATGAAAGAATGTAAATAAGTCAACAAGCAAAGTAAATTTTTAGTTTTTACATTTACGCGGTACAATTTACGCTGAAGTTATAATATCGCGACACAGCATTTACACATCCTTTTTACATCGATGTAGTAATACTAAGCCTCTTTACCAAACGATTTCAAGTTATAACATTGATGTAACAACTTTGTAAAATAGCATAGTTGTCATCATCAGATGTTGTAACTTCAGTGTAAATCGGGCCATATAAACGTAGTCATATTTACATAACAATATATATATATATATCTTGATTTTATTACTTATGGTAAAAAATTAATTAACACTGAAATTTAAAATATTTGTTTTATTTTAGATTGGCAGGAAGAAATTAAATTACCATCTAGAATAGTGATAGAACTACGACCGCGTAACAACATGGCTTGGTGGCAAGTACAAGCAGCATCCATGAATCCAAGAGTTCGTACACTTCTCCCCATACAGAGACGTCTCTCAAGTCTATTAATATTTTTGCAACAACGATGGCGACTCGCAAAATATACTACGGTATCCTTATATCTATTGCAACAATTTGGCTTTCTTATGTCGTAATTATATGTATATTTTCTTCTCATTTGTTACTGTATATTTTCAACTATTCACAATGAAATTTATTTGAATATTCATAATCCTTATAAATATTTATAGTGTTCCACTGTAGAAAATCTTGTTGCTAACGATATAAAAGATACTTGTTTATTACGAGTTGCCCCACCAGAAGGATGTAAAATTGCTTTGCCAATGGTTAATCTTGGAGAATATCTTACTAGCAATAGTGTCAGTTTGAATTCATATGAAAAACGTCTCGGTCTGAAAAGCTCACGGGAAGATTTGTTAGGTTCTGTTCAATATTTAAAAGGAGTAGGGAAAAAGGGCATTAAACGATATAAATCGGATAAAAAGATTTTAAACCGCACTGATGAAAATTGTACACTGCCAGATATCAGTAGTGATATGGATCTCTTAGAAACTGGAAGTAATATATCCGAAAAACCAACGATTATAAATAATACAGAAAAACCGCCATCAGAACATCATTCAGAACCAAATAGGTTTCCTGGTAGAGAAACTATCGAGAGAATTCGAAAGGGTTGGAACATCGAAGAAGCAAACACAATTACCGTGGGCGATCTTTTTCTAATGGTGCGCAACATTACATTTATTACTATTTGTCACATTTAATCTTCTCAGTTATCAAGTAATCGCAATTTTCTTTTACATTTATACTGCATTATTTGAAGTATATCTTCTAATATTCTAAGTTTAATTTACAGTTTGGTCGTGAATCAAAGATTATACTTGAATATTGGTGGGATTGGTTACCTAATGGACAATATACAACTAATTCAGCATCATCGAGTATTATACATGATAACAGTCTATGTTTGGTTTTACAAAAGTTATTGTCACTGGCGAAACATAATTATGGTACTAACAAAGTAAGATGTAACAGATATGTTGCTCATTTTGATATAGAGATTCCAATTGTATTTCAAGACGAGTCAAATTTTTTTAATGCTATAAAATATTTCTATTAGGTATACGATAATACATCAGGAAGTAATGAAACGGTAATTTCGTCTCGAGTCCTATCTATTAAAGAATCTACATTTAGAAGACCTCTCATTCCACAAACATATCATAAGATTGGTACAGCTGACGCATTTAAGACACAACTTGATGTAAGTATTATTAAATTCAATACAATATATTGAGTGTTTAATTTTAACTTTGACATTGAAATATCTCGGAAAATATAAAAATAGACAAAAATGTTTAAGACATAAAAGTTATGTAATCTAATAAACCCAAAATAATCACAGAGCTGCTTATGAAAAAATTAAGTCGGACCATTTTTAACACCGTAACAATAACTCATTCGTTGACTTTAACTTATGCTCCAATTCTGTAATTTTAAAGGTCGGAGCACTTTTGCATAATGCATAAAGCGTAAGAAAATCAACTTCAGAGTTTTTTTCTTTTATTTTATGGAAAGAAAAAAAATGAAGGACTTCAATTGGTTTATTTATTTATGCATTGTGAGTTATGCATTATGCAAAGGCATTCCGATCTGTAATTACAAGATTCTGTGGTTCCACCCTTAATGATACTGAACTGTCATTAGCTTTAGGCACAATATGAAGCAACAGCGACAAGAATAGCGGTAGGAATACCGTAAAAATAAGCCCAATATATAAAGCCCTAGATACAATGTGACAGCAACAAGAACAGTGATTCGAATAGCATAGAAATAAGCGATATATAATTATCGCCTTCCGTTGCCGCAAAAGAAATAAAAATGCCAACCTGATCTTGTATATAGACTGTAGTACATTCTTTCATCTACTTCAAGATTATAGCACAGAATGAAATGATATAAAACAGAATAAAAAATTTGAATGTTAATTGGTAGGCTATAAGGCGATCATAGACATAGAATTCCAACTCGTCGGAAATTTATCGCTATTGCCTTATTCCGTGTTCCTATGTGCATTGACATATGCATTTCCATATGTTGGATTCCTCTGTTCCTATCACTATCGCTATTTCTATCGCTATCACTTTCCTCGCATTGTGTTTAGGACTTAAGATTTGCAGAATCGGGGTATTATTCTTCTACAAAAACTATTTGTTGGACACAACTTTGTTAAGGAAAAAATTATTTATTTTACATACATCATAGGATCATCATGCTAGGTCTATCTTATAAGTCTATAGCTATGGTCCACTTGACGCTACAATCCTATATTATTATTATTATTAGGCGTTAGGAACTCGAAAGCTCATTGCCGCAAATACCAAATCCCGCCACTGTTCCCGTCCCTGAGCCAGATCCCTCCATTTGTGACCCTCATTTTGTCCCCCTTTTTGAAAATCGGGATTATAATTGAGCTACAATCCTATAGGCACATAATATTATTTAATATTAAATAATATTTTAGGCATATTTCCAGAATATTAAACGTAACATTTGAAATATGTTTTACTGAAATTATATAATATTAAATAATATTCTTGAAATATTAATAGATGATTATATGTCCACTCTCTCTTCTGATAATATTGCATGATTATTAAAAGTAACATTATTTAGTGTTACTGTAATATTATATGAATATTAAAAAGTATCATAACATTTATTTTAATTTGTAAAACTGTTACACCGGTTCAGTTTAAATATATGTTTAAAGACTGAAAATAATTTTGGCGTGCAGTTGTAAGACTGGATATGTACATAAAATAATACGAAACGTTATTTAAGCACAAGACGTATATTGATAAGATATTTTCGTTACTGGATTGTGAATTTAAACTGCACTAATATAAAAATAATTAATATTAATAAATATTTTAATAATATTTCA